CCTTAAAAGTACGTGGAATTGCGTCTATTTGCTAAGTTTTATTGAAATATCCCCTAGTTCGCCACTATACAGGACTTGACACTGGAGATAATAAAAATAGGTTCTCAATACGACACTACTCAAAGTATATTGAGTGAAAAACGCCTTGAATTGGAGAAATAGCAAAATCAACCATTAAAGTAATTGCTCCTAAATTAAAGTTAGGCGCTATTTATAAAAATAAATCTTCATGCGTGAATAGCCACCCTTCGAGGTGGATGATTTTCTTCAAAATGAAATGGGACCACTATGGAAGTACCCCCTTTCTAACAAAAAAAGAATCATGAAAATCGATTCACAAATACCGGAGTTATCGCGTAACATACATACAAGAAAAAAGGAAAAAAAAGAACATACAGTCGAATTGAGAACCTCCTCCTTTTTTGAAGTCGGTTAAAAAAGGAAATATTACGATGTAAGAATTTTGGATGTAGATAAAACATAATTAAGATAAAACATTTTTGTTAAAGTTCCTGCTAAAATAAGTATATATTTCCTACGACAATTTTTAAAAACAAATTTTAAAATGTATTTAAAATTCAGCACTATTGTAAGCCACGTATCAAAAAGCAAAGTCGGCGTGTACAAAGTTAGCCAAGTAATAAGATAATGAAGAACAGCGGGGTCGGATACGAATTAAAACGAGCGCCGTGAGCGTCATACTAGCCACCCCATTAAATTTTTTATAGTTGGTCCTTATTATTTCACAGTTCGTACTTTGATAGCGTAATATCTTTGAAACTACTGTTTTTAGGCGAATTGGTAATATGACATTTCGTTTTGCGTAAACGTGTTATCTGTTAATACATATATGTAGAAATAATGCGTGTTCGCCATTTCTAGAAGTACCATAAGAACATTTTGTTTTTAGGTCACGGTGGTGAAAGTTGTTTGTTTTGCTGGACTGAAAATGCTTTTAAAAGAATGTGAGCATATTAAATTAAAACCATATATACAAAGGTATCACAAAAAAGATGCGAGAATACTTTGAGGTACGTTGCGGTCTAATACAAAATCACGGAAAAAATGTCCCAAGTCAACCTATTTAAACGTAAAGGAATATGAAAAAGCTAAAACGTTGAATTTAAATTGTAATGTCATCGCAGTACTGTCTAATTTTGCTTGCTTCGCTGTCAGTCGAACAAACGAAGACTAAAGCGTGAATGACGCTCTGTATACGATTTTATCGCCCTATAAGTTCGGACACTTTTTAGCGCGAACCCGACGTCCATATAATTGTAAGTCAATGGCTGTTACACTGTTCTCTTTTTAAATGTCATTTGCTATAGCAATGGCTCTGCCGACATGACGCGTATCTTTCTCCTTGTTTATTTAATGAGTGAATCGGAGACTTTGTTATGACGTCACTACTTCAACATTGCGCGGAAATGAGACAGAAAACGTTATTTCGAACGCGTACAGTAGAGACAGCACTACTCGGCTAAGAGTGAATGAATTTTCTTAAAAACCTTCGCTGTTAATGAAATCGAAATGAGACGTGGCAATTGGTTGAAGTACTTTTACTTCTTGAAAAGTAGGTTATTTTTAAATTGTTATTTTAACTTTTTTCACTCGTTTTCTGTACAATGAATCTCTTCTTTATTCGCATAATTCATTATTGATATAATGGCTACATTCCAATATCGAACATTGTTACTTTTTTTAAGTATTACGACAAAATGATACCATGTTGCAATTACATTTTTCCATTTTAAGATACAATTAATTTATGTTATCAAGTGATGAGACGAATAAGTTATGCACCTGGTGGTAAGCGACACGCCTGTCCATAACAGTTGCAGTGCCGCTCAGAGCGTCCGTCATTCTGACACATAAGTTGAAATCTCCCATGTGCCTGTAATTGCACCAGCATCCTTACCTTTCAAAACCAAAACGCAGTAAGACGTGGCACTGCTTGGCGGCAGAAATAGGGTTGGTGGCAGTAATACCCTAGACAAACTCATTCACTTTACTGCTAAAAGTCATCAAAAGGTCAGAGGTCATCATTTTTGTGAAATTACTACACTTGTTTGTAATATTTATCAATACAAAAATACATACAATCTTCTGGCACTTTTTGCTGGAAGACATTGATAAGAATCCAGCCCAATCAAAGGATTTTTTTTCTAAGTGTTCGATATTTGTATTAATAAGGGCAAGTATTCCAACCTCTTGGTGACGATGATTTGTTATTATTTTTTCTTTTTATTATCGCTTTATTTTTCTTTTCTTCTACATTAAGCATAATTTAGCCTTTATGTAAGGCTATGTAAATAAAACACGTAACACTTACTAGGTATATAGACATAAATATTGTATTTTTGTAATTTTCTTTTAAAATGTTGATTTCGTTACTAACGTAAACCCATTTCACAATTTCCTTTTTTAACATTCGTGAAACTGGGAGGCGTATTCTTAGTACAGTCCTAAATTTGGTTCAGACAAAAAATAACTATATACTCTCCTTCACCTTCTATTTTCAGTATTAAGTCCCTTAAGCTTAAACAATGGTTAATTGATTAGAAAGTGTTATGGAATTTTGAAATTTATATTCAAATCCTTATTAAAAATTTCAATTGATAAAACCGGTAAGAACTTTTTTCTTTGATGGTAACTTTTTTTTCGTCTTCCCTTTTCCATCATAGGCGGTCTGGCGTAGGCTTTTACTTCTACGTTGTGGACACTCCAAGGAATCGCAGGAAGCGCTTCGCTTCCACATTTATATGGCGAACGGTAATGGAGCGGATTTTTTTTAAATATCTGCAGTTCTTGTTCTCTTGTTCCCTGAACGGTGTAACTTAGGCCTGTTCAAGGCGAGAGTGATAGGCACTATTTAAGTGTGCAACGTCGACCTCATAGTCACTTTCCATCAGTTGAGATGGAGGTCAAATGCGCAAATTTTTCTATTAAAAAAAAACCTTAGGGATGCATGATGAATGCATGATGGCACCAATTATGTGTGCTTGAGTGTATTAGCTACAGCTTTTTCATAACATGTGGAAGATATTGCTACACTACTGTATGATAACCACGAGGTGACGGACTGAGTGGAATAAATATTAATTTCCCATTGAAAAAAAAGTCAAAGAAAACATTATTGAAGCTTACAAAGAAAGTACACATTTATTGACATATTACAATAATAATTTCCTTGCATAAACAATACAATGAAGCCAGTGATATGAAAGATTAATGCTCACGTCCCTTATCTACTAAAAACATAACCGTTATCAACTTAGGCAGTAGGAAATGGACTTCCCCTAAATGTAGTACAATAATATCGTAAACAATTGCATAAAAAATGTAAATTTGCTATCTAAGCAGGAAGTAGTGTTTAATTTATAAATAGTATATAGACGTCAGAAGGAGTAAAAGAAATACCAGGGACTTGAAGTCTTAACTCATAATCTAAGGAGCATTATAGTCTTTCAGTCGATAAAACAGACAAACATATTAGCTTAAACGATTTTAAAGAGATGTCGCTACGACGCTCCAAATTCAAAATGCGGAAAAAAAAAATTGATAGTTGTGAAATCTTGGGAACGCGAGGTATCCGAATAGATTACCTTTATAAGAAATATGATGCTGTTCCTCTTACTACATATTTTGGGAGAATAGAAACGATAGCAGATTTTGCACGTTTTTGGCAAATACATCGTAAGTATTGAATTTAGCGTAATGATTGTTAAACCATGTAAAGCTGATAAACGAAGGCAAGTTTAGTGTACTCCAAAATGTCTACAAGACTTTATTTGCACTTGCTAGAGCTTAAAACATTTGACTTAAAATAAAGTATATTCCTCTTACTCTGAATATGCTACGTTCGGTACGTTATCACAAGTTTTTAGCTGTAATAACGTGTCCGTTTCTCTCAAACGAAGGTCATATGAGCAAATGGTTCAGCAGGTAATGGTCTACGGTGCGAAAACTGAGACCCGCCGACAACAATACATCCAAAAGTTGCGGGTAGCCTAAAGAAAGATGGAACGCGTTACGTTGGGTGGCACTCAGAGTGACAGAATTAAAAAAAAACAGGAATCCAGAGCTAAGCTAATTGGCGTGTGGCGAAGTGGCAACAAACACAGATAAATTAGTAAGGTCTGTTGATTGGTTTCGGGACTCATTTGGGAATGGTTAGCCCCAGTATGGCAGACAGTCGCCAGCACCCTTACATTTCAAAACAGAAGCACAGTTATGCTCACGTTACTACTCGGCGGCAGAAATAAGGTGGCAGTACTTCACTGGACGACCTCTTTCACAAGGAGCTCTAACTGTTACTAAAATAAATATATCATTTGCTATTATTAATTCATGTTTAACTTTTGCTATCCATGTACATGTTACTGAAGGGAAAAATGGAATGAAATATAATTAATAACCAAAGCGGATGAATGAATGTGGATTAACGAAAGAAATATATAGTGCTAACGTAGAAACTTTGACTGGAAGAGGACGGCCGCGAAGGACATGCCCAGCTCAGATTGACAGTGTTTTTAAAACGACTGGAGTGCTTAGTTAAAAGAATAAGAGGGCCTGTATTTTCACACGGGCCTTCTTATTCTATGTTGATGACTTTATGTGAAGCATGAAAGGTTTGTCAGGACTGTGCTAAGTGGCGATCGATAGTATATGTTTATCTCAATGGGAATCTAAGCGCGTGAGTATAATAAATAAAATAATAACCAAAAATAAAGTAATGAATCCCAAACAACCCCATAGTTATATGACATTGTGCCATTCGACAGACACTGCCCAATCGGCTACACGATGAGAAGATAACGAATTCAGGGGACTAACAAAAATGCCGTAATAAGAATTATACAATGGTATTGCGTCAAGACTCAAACACGGTAAAACAATTTGTTAATTACATTGTAAAATAATCTGCGAATGAAAATCCCTTTAACATCGTATATAAAGATGGCATTAACCGTAGTTAAAACATCAGATAGAATTCAGTGCTCAAGCTTAAGTGCTATTTCATTTTTAATTATTAACTTCGAGATGGCCAAAGTTGTTATTATTGCTTTCTTCATAGCTGTCGCTGTTGCCGTTATAGCTAACCCTGTGGAAGGTAACATTTGTTTCGTATCCCTTGAAACTATTTTCTTCGCATTTAAACCCAAAACAAACTAAGTTTCCTGATCTGCATATCATGGTGCATATTTAATTATTATTGGTTATGATTTAAGACTAAGGGTCGTATTCTAGAACTCTACTCAATGCTCAAGTCAGGATTTGAGTATGATTTAAAGCACTAGAAATCATACTCAAGTCCGTGCCATTAGGGTCGTATTTCCAGTGCTTGTGTTTCAATTGCAATCCTGACTTGAGCATGATTCAAAGCACTAGAAATAATTATCTACTAGAAGTAAGTGATTTTATAGAATATTATTATTTTTTAACCGACTTCAAAAAAGGAGGAGGTTCTCAATTCGTCTGTATGTTTTTTTTTGTATGTATGTTACGCGATAATTCCGGTATTTGTGAACCGATTTTCATGATTCTTTTTTTGTTTGTATTTCCATAGTGGTCCCATTTCATTTTGAAGAAAATCGTCCACCTCGAAGGGTGGCTGTTCACGCATGAAGATTCATTGTTATAAATAGCGCCTAACTTTAATATAGGCGCAATTACTTTAATGGTGGATTTTGCTGTTTCTCCAATTCAAGGCGTTTTTCTCTCAATATACTTTGAGTAATGAGAACCGATTTTTATTATCTCCAGTGTCAAGTCCTGTATAGTGACGAACTAGAGGACATTTCAATAGAATTTAGCAAATAGACGTAATTCCACGTACTTTTGAGGTCGGTTTTTTTTAATACTCTGTACGGATCATTATTAATAGGAGTGCATTTCACGTTGTGGTAAGTGACGATGAGGCCCGGCGGTGGATGTTCCCTTTGTTAGTGGAATTTTACTGCGATTAATCCATCCTTTTAAGGTTCAAGGAAACTTTCAGAAAACATGCAAGCGCTTTTCTAGGCGAATATGTGCCATCTTTGTCCACATGTTTACTTTCCAGCAAGATATATTGTGGACAAACGATTATATCTTTTGAAAATATGTCATCATTGGCATCATCACCTATGCCCAATTACTCTACATGAATCTTGTCCAAGGATAGCTACACACTGTAGCTATCCTGACCCAATGCCGGTTCGGGAATTAAAATATTTTCCAACACATGTGATGATGGCATTTCACATGGTTACTTGAAATCGCTATTGGATATTTGTGGTACTTGGAAAAATATTTGACGTACAGACAAACAGGCAGACACGAACAAATATGACCGTCTGCACATGGACTCAACTTAAGGAGTTAAAATAATGAATATGATCATAAGGTGGACGGTTTAATGCGCATCTTTGTTGTGTGTCGAGTGTCCGACCAACGCGCGGTAGCACGAATTTGGGGTTTGCGGTATTTGTCGAATTGGCAAACAAGGAAATTACTTTGTCACACCCGCTGTCTACAATGGTGATTGTTTGCCAAATATATCAAATACGCAAATACAAATAGCTATGCGAAGTGCTACTATAATGAAAATATGTGTATTACTGAAATGCAATTAGGATATCGCAGCCTTGGTGTAAGGAAGTCATATCTGGAAAATGACAACTTTTGAGCAGAGTTGATTAGGAAAGTTATAAAATTTCACATATATAACATTTGGTTTCATATACTTCTTAATACTATATAGACGCGGGAAAATGATTGGATATTTGATACGACACGACTGTGACGGTGTGACCTCCTTACACCGTCATCCCACCTCTTTGTACCGCCTCTCTCCGCTTGTATCCTATCATTTTTTATTTTACATGTATTTAAATTTTAAATTTGAATTGTTCCATCTTCCTTCACTTTCTCATTTTGTTTTCGTACCACGATCACTCCCAGCTCAACCGCCACAACAGTCGAAGCTGTTCCAAATTCCATCGCGAATAATCGCTAAACCTAAACCTTTCACGACAATTTCTTTAAGACCATTTTGGAGGGAAAGATCGAGGGGAAGAGGGGAAGATGTCGACTTAGGCGTAGTTACATAGACCAAATTAAAAAAAGGCCGGTGTCGTATCGTACAAGCAGGTCAAGGAGCTGGCTTATAAGAAAGATAGCTGGAAGATTTTTTTTAATTAAAAATAAGTGCACATTGACCTCCATTTCACTTGATGGAAAGTGATGATGAGGTCGACGACGTAGCATGCACACATAAACAATGCCTATTCACTCTCGCCTTGAAAAGGTCCAAGTTATAGCGCCCGGGGTATAAAGTCCGCAAGTAGGGAATTCCACTCAAGCGATGCTTCGTGTGAATCCTGGGAATATGCACAACATAAGGGTGAAATCCCAGCCATATCTAGACCCTCGATGATAGAAAGGGGAAGGTGGAACCAAATTATGCAATTCCTTCCTGTAGAAGACCGACAAGCAGGTAACTTTACGGCGGTGTTCAAGGCTCTGCAGCTTCGCCTCAACTAATTCCAAGTCACCTATAAGCCTTTTGGGTACGCTTCTTGCTGTTGTTGTTGATGTTTCACCGACAAGAGTATCTCTTAAGTTTGATGATGATGATATTTCTCAATATTTTTATCATCTTCGTGTGATAAAAGTACTTTTGACTTTTGGTTATATTATACCATCGGCTACGTTACGAGAATATGAGTTGTGTTAGTAGTAATATTATGCATTTAGATCTAATAGATTATTGTATGAATTTGCACCATGTAACTACATTCCTATGGAAATTCTTAAAAACATTATTTTACCTTTTAGAGCAAAGCGACTATCACACCGCAGAATTTGAGCATCAGCTCCGTCTCCCACGTGCCACCTGCGACCTGCTGTCATATTTCGGAGTGGCTGACACTGCGTGTGCAGCTCACTGCATTGTCATGAGATACCGTGGAGGGTGGTGTCAGAAGGGAGTCTGCCACTGCAGACGCTAAAACTTTTATATTTTCTCAAAGTCATGGATGGAGTGACTGCTCTGCTTATTATGATTAGCCCAGTAAAATTTATGTATCTGGGATACAACCAGTTAAATCATAGTTTTTTTTTAATCCGTCACTCGTTTTAGAGACTATGATGTGTGGTGTCCTTAACGATTTTGGTACTGTAGCGACCTTTAAATTTGTAAAAAAGTTGGTAAAAATTTAAAAAATTGAAGATATCCAAAAAAATTTAAGTGTGTTTCTTTAGCATGTTTGACGGGTTAATCAAAAACTTTTCAAAAAATAGTTTCCAACGGCCTTTACTATATCAAAACATACTGGACTGAGTTTGCACTCGCATCCATGTATTTTTTTTATATTTTATTTTGTGTTTCCACTACGCAATTTATAATGAAACTTATTTTAAGTCGGTATATTATTAGGAATGTATAAACTAGTATTAAAATAAATTGTCTTGTAGGTAGTCTTTTAACAATTATTTGGTGGAGGTTAAGGAAGGCATTACGGCAATAAACGTGAATCTGCGAAGCGGTGTTTCTTTGGCTCCCGTAAATTAATATCGTAAAGATTCGTTCTGGATGTAACAAAAATAAACTTCACTTTTAGTGTAAATGTTGCATGGTATTTTTTGTCTTCTACACAAACTGTGAATGGAATTTGGTAGCGATTACTAAAGCCATATAAACCTGGAATAAATTTCAATATAGCGTTCCTCGAATTGTAACAAATGGCAACTACAAATGATCGTTCAACGGCCATCGAGAATTTGATTGAATTTTAATTTGTATGGCGTCTGGGAAGGTAGTTTCAAGTTTCCATTTCTATCAATCAATCTTCATGTGTAGAAACAATCTCATCATTAATGCTCTGACCACACAGATGCCTGACACACTGAAGCGCGGCGGCCGCGCGTCTGCCACATGTTTCAGTGTGGCAGGGTTCATATAAACTCGTACATTACAAAAATTCAAACGTCAAGGAACACTTCCGCGGCCGCCTCTGTGTAGCATTAGCTTAACCGCTGTACTCCCACTTTACCTGTTTTTGTAGCAGTACTTTCCTGAAAGAACACTTTCACAAGCTGTACTGTTATTAAAAAAGTAAGTAGTAAAATAGTAAATGATAAAATGACAGTTTAAAATATCAGATCTATATTCTTTAATAGCTTGAAGTTACACTGATAGATAAGAAACCATTCCCACCGCTTCTCGATTAAAACTTTCCGATAGACGTATAACCAATGACCTTGCTTAATTGCAATGACGTTAGATAAAGAACTTATTTACAACTATACGTCACGTTGAATATCAAAGTAATGTCAATTTTGATTTGAAACTCGTTTAAAAACTTCATAAATTTTTTTCTTGCAAATTATTGAAATATAATTATTAATACAAAGAAAATTTCTTCGATTCGAAGTGACGTCTTCTAGCAAACCGTGTCAGACGCTATGCCAACTACGCCACGGAAAGAACCAGTGGATCTGACGAATTTTTCTATGTACTTGTTGATCTTTGTATTTGGTTTTCAACGACTTTTTATCCGTGGCGCTATCTACGAGAAATCGATGAAAGTATTTCATCACCCAGTTAGATACCTTTACAGCTACCTGCCCCGGCTAGAGATGTCGCTATTCACTGTAATTAAACTTGTATGGAATTGATATTCAATTAGATTCCTGATTTAAGTCGTGTATATTTGTTTTTTGAAATAAACCAACGTTTCGCGCCCTTTACATGTCCTATGGTCACGGTTGACTGAGGTGATACAGTCATCAACTAGTTATGTCTAATATTAATACAAACCACCCTATTTTTCACTATACTTACAAAAGTTATTAATTAAATACCTTATTTTCAATTTTACAAAGAAACATTCCAATTTCTATGAATTAATACAAAGATCGAATATTTAGAAAAAATCCTTCTATTCGGCCGGATTCAAACCGACGTCTTCTAGCAAACTGTGCCGGACGATATGCCAAATAAGCCACGGAACGGACCAGCGGACCTCACGAATTTTGCTACTGCTTGTTGTCGGATCTTTGTATTTGGTTTTCAACGACTTTTCAACCGGATCGAAGGAATTTTTTCTAAGTGTTTGATCTTTGTACACATAATTATAACAAACTAGTAGAGTAATTTCACAAAAAATAAATGAATATCAAATCAATACAAATTTATTGAAATATGTGAGCATTACTGCGTTCCGGTTTTAAAGGGTAAGGCTGCTAGTGAAATTACAGGTACATGAGACTTGTGACAGGCGCAGTAGCTGTGTTTACTTAAAATAAAAAAATAAAAAAGTATTTCGTAACTTTCGCTTTCCGCGTTTGGTCTGGCCTTATCATAATAGGTAATCAACACAAAAAAAAGACTAATTAAAAATACTCAATAATAATATTCACCTCACAAGGGCCTATAAAACTATGTAGTTTTACTGGTAATCGAAGTGCAGTTATAAGTAGATGTAAAGGTAATTTCTATTAATGGACACGTCAAGTTCTTCCAAGAATTTTGATGGGACTGACGACGGATGTAACAAACGTAAGAATAGTGAAGGAAAAGTTGTAAAGAACGATTTGAAGCTTTAAATAATAAAGTGCGCAAAACGAGATTCATCTCCTAGTTCACCACTATACGGGATTTAACACAGGAGGTAATAAAAATCGGTGCTCACTGCTTAAATACATTGACAGAAAAACGCCTTCAATTAGAACATAACAAAATCAACCATTAAAATAATTGCTCCTTATAAAATTTAGGCGCTATTTATAAAAATAAGTCTTCATGCGTGAACAGTTACCCTTAGGTTTGGAATATTTTCTTCTTTCCAACAAAAGAAGAATCATTAAAATCGGGTCACAAATGACGCGAGTCATCGCGTAACATATATTGTATACAAAAAAAAATTTTCATGGCGGTTTATAAATAATAGGTAAATAGTAAGTGGCCATGAACCAAAACTGTGGATAATAAAAAGGTGTGATGACGATGAAGGAATTGAGTATCGTCACACGCGTACATGTTACTGAAGGGTAAATTAAAAAAAAATATAATTAATAGCCTAAAAATTAAGTTTCAAATTCTATAATTATTAATACAAAGATCGAACACTCAGAAAAAACACTTAGAAAAAATTCCTTCGATCCGGTCGGATTCGAACCGACGTCTTCTTGCATACCGTGTCAGACGCTATACCAACTAAGCCACGGAACGAACCAACGGACCTCACGAATTTTTCTATGTGCTTGCGTCGTGTCTTTGTACTTGGTCTTTCAACGACTTTTTAGTCGCAGCGCCATCTATGAGAAATCTATTGCAAATTTATCACCCAGTTAGTACCTTTACAACTACCAGTCCTGGCGAGAGATGTCGCTATTCACTGTATTAATTAAATTTTTATTGAATTGATATTCAATTATTTTTTGTGAAATTACTCCACTAGTTTGTTATAATTATTAATACAAAGATCGAACACTCAGAAAAAACACTCAGAAAAAATTCCTTCGATCCGCTCGGATTCGAACTCTAATACACCCCTAATAATAATATTTCAAATTCTAATAAACTCCACAGTTTATGCAATTGTGCCATGTTATTTTGTACCTATCCGATGGACTACACTGTGATAACGGGTTTAGGGGACTTACAAAAATGTCCCTTGATACAACTACAGGAAAACTATTCATTAATTGTATTGTAAATGAATCATGAGTCGCGACCTGCGAAGGGGAATCCTTTCAACATCATATATAAAGACGAAATGAACTGTAGTCTACATCAGATACAACTCAATACTCGGGTTTAACTGCTACTTCAGTTTAACAAATATTTACCAATTCGAAATGGCTAAAGTTATTATTATTGCTTTCATCGTGGCTGTCGTTGTTGCCGTTATGGCTAACCCTGTGGATGGTAAGATTTTCGAGTCCCTAGAAACTTTTCGTTTACTCGGGCCTAATTTTATTTTACGCATCGAGATGATTTTATGTTATAAAGTGACGGCACGAATAGGTGCTACTCAGACCTTTAAATCGCGAAGATCTAAGGGAAACTGCCAATGCGCCCGTCACCCTGAGACATAAGTTGACAAGTCTCATGTGCCCGAAGCACCCTTACTCTTCAAAACCGGAACGCGATAATGCTCTTTACCGCTGCAGAAATAGGCAAATCGAGAATATTTATTTTTTCAAATTTGTCAATGTTTCGGGGCCTTTATTGAGTAGGTACGAGCCATAACCATGGGACCTGACACAAATAGCTTCATTTCCTGTAAGATTTATTGTTTGTTCATACAATACATATTAGGTAATTAACTAATCTGTTCCGTTAAAATACTATTTTATTGAATATCACGATGTTTATTAAAAATTCTCCACTACTACCATGTTATTATTGATAGAAATATCGTACAATCGACTCATTTGTAGAACAAAGACTACGTGCCGGAATTTATTCTCAGGACTATAGTACATTTCGTTTGTTGTTCTTTGCTGTGGATATCAGATCGACGGTCGTTCGATTTTATATTTCCGGGTGACCAGACGTAGGCTAAGCTCCACCCTATGTTGTGGATAATCCAAGAATTAGCACGAGCTTTTCGCTTTCACATTTATATGGCGGACGGCTATGGAGTGGAATTCTTGCCTGCAGACTTTTTCCCTGAATGGTATAACATGGGCCTTTGCGAGTGTAAATAGGCTTTTATTAACCTGTGCACGCTCCATCGTCGACTTCATCGTTACTTTCCATCAGGTGAGATGGAAGTCAAATGCGCACTTACTCTTTATTTAAAAAAAAATCACCTGTACCTACATTATTATAGAAATTTCTTGTTATTCTACATTTCAGAGCAAAGCGACTACCAGGTCGTGGAATTTGAACATCACCTCCGTCTCCCACGTGCCACCTGCGACCTGCTATCAGCCTTCGGAGCGGCAGACTCTGCATGCGCTGCTCACTGCCTCGTCACGGGGTACCGTGGAGGATGGTGTGATAAGGGAGTGTGCCACTGCAGACGCTAAATCTTTTCGTATTTTCCCAAAGACATGGGTGTCGGTGGCGTAATAGCTTTGCTTATTACGGTTAGCTCTGTAAAATATATATATCAGGTAGTTACCAGAGCTAAAACATGATCTTTTTTAGCCCGTCACGCTTCTTAAAGCCAAACGGTGTCTCTAGACGCACTTGTGATTTCTCAACCTTTAAAAAATATACCAAAAAATTATGTCAAAAATCGTTTGTAATATCTTGAGTCTTTAGGATACGTGACTGGTTAATCAAGGACATTTAAAAAAATGCGAATAACAGCTCAGCAATAGTGTAGGCAACGGCTTTTACAATATCAAAACTTATAGGACTGAGCTATACGTCACTCGCGTCAGTGTGTTTTTTTATATAACTTTTTATATCTCCACTATGTAATCTATAATCAAACTTTTCTTACATCGATTTATTGTTATGAATGTATTAACTAGTCTTATAATAAAATATTTATTAGCAGTTTAAATGTTGTGTGTTATTGATCTCGTACACAAACTGTGAAGGGAATTTGATATCGATTACTAAATAGAGTTTTGAGTTATTACCAGTAAAAGAAGCTGTATATGAAAATAAAACCACGTCCAATTCGGCTTTACTACAGCTTCATTTTAAAATTCTTAGTATTAATAGATCATATTGATTGTAATGAATATTAGGATGCCTTGCTATCACAGTATTAATTTATTTTTCTGCAATTACTCTATTAGTTTGTTATAATTGTTAATATAAAGATCGAACACAAAGGAAAATTCCTTACATCTGACAGGACTCAAACCTACGTCTGTGCCATACCAGGGCGACAGCTCTACCAACTTAGCTAGAGATCAAGTCAATAGACCTCACGAATTTTTAAAAGCACTTGTTGCATATCTTCGTTTTTGATTTTAACGGATTTTTTTCCAAATCATTGTATGATTTAGCAGAAAATGTTAACAAATTGTGAAAATAGCAACTAAACATCGTGTGATAGTTTCCGTGAATTCGATAAAATTTTAATGTGTATGTCACCTGGCAAAACAGTTTCATGCTTCCATTTCTATCAATCTTCTCGTGTATAAAAATACTCACGTTACTTACTTTTAAATTTATTTACTATTTTTAAGGATTCGCTCTGGGCCTTTTGGAGGGAAAAGTGTCTTTTTTATTTCGACTTTCAATTTTTTTGTGAAATCTAGTTTAAAGTGGAATAGGATAGTGCTGTTGTGCCTTAATCGAAGATTAAAACGCGAAATTATACGAATCTCGAACAAAATACCCGTATCGGCCCGTTCTAAGGAATCCCGAGTCAATCTAAGCACGCCGCCTAAAATTGCCTATCCTCTTTGTGGCGGCCATATTTACAGAAACATAATAAAACGGAGACATGGGTCAAAGGACTTGTATCCAAGCCAAATTTATTAATACATAAAAACTATTTTTAATCAATTAGAAAAAGACGTTGATAATTTTTTGCAATTTATCGAGTTTATCATTATACAAATTGACTGCCTCCTTGGCCGAAAAGTCACCATGCCGGACTGCCACGCAGAGGTCCCAAGTTCGATTCTCGGGCCGGGAGAAATATTTGTATGGCCTACATTTATTTCTCTCGTGAGTTTGGGTATAATTTGTGGTTGTCTATCGGTGTGTCCATGACACGCGCGACACAGGGTTTCCCTAGTGCGGGGCTATGTTGATTATGTGCGTTATTACTATTAGTATACACTTAGCATAACATGTTGAAATTTTTTTGGAATTTATCGAATTTATCATTAAAAACTTAACGTAATTGACGTACTTTAGCGAGATGAGTGGAAGACATTATCAAAGTTGTGGGTCGTAGATGGTTGAGACTAGCACAGGATCGTGATTGATGACACAAATTCAAGAGGAGGAGGAGGAGAGGAGGAGGTGAAGTTGGGCTGTGGATAATGAACATCGATAATTTTGGTGCAATTTATCGAGTTTATAACGGCAAGAAATATCATAAGGAAATAATCTTAGTGAATCTAAAAGAATTTTAACTTGTACGTCAAATGGTAAAGCAGTTTATTTGTCTCCTCCCTTTCTCAATTCGTGTGTAAAAATGTGTCACAAAATTTACTATATGTTAAAATTACCTTCTAAGTCTCGACTATAGCTACGGCACCGAGCGTTTTTCATTAGGCTACGATCACATTAGGCGGCGAACAGACGGCCGGATTATTGGATCCGTCGGACGAAAGACTTCGATCCGTTGCCTTTTTTACTTTTTTCTTTTTTCCTGCCATGGCACCGTCTGGAAAGCCTTTCCTCTTATTTATTGCTTATACGAATCCCGAATTGGATATTTGTAAAACGTTGGAATGATTACGTTTTATGTTTAGAAGTCTACTGGTGTTATTCGAGAGAAACTTTCCTATTAGAAATTATTGCCACTTAATAGGAAACAATAATGTAACTTTGTCTTATATCAAAAGACGCGAACTTCACGTCTCTTTATTTTCTGTGGTTGTAATTAAGAAATTGCTATTTAACAATAAGACCGCTTGTTGTACATTAGCATGATTAGGCTACGATCACATAGGCAATGTCATGGATTATGGTACCTATATGATTATAATGTACTAGGCAATTCTCTGTACTTTGAAGAACCAGAACAACGGGACTGACTTTGGGGTACTTCCCAGATCTGGTCTGGGTCGAGAACCTATTTAGAAAAGGTAATTTCCTAAATTGGTTCTACCAGGAATCGAACTCGGGACCTCCTCATCAAGTGCCCACTTTGCAAACCGTTAGGCTGCCGAGATAGTCATAATGTTTGAATAAAATTATAATTCCTATTTTTTAGGTGTATGGATCCTTTTAATGGAAAATGTCTGGAAAATGTGTAATTTGATAGCACCTTATAATTATATACCCTAAAAACATTACCCTCTTCCGAGGGTAGTTGCCTAAGGACTGCAAACGTACAAACAAGAATTATCATTATTTTCGAAACAAATTTTTCAGTACCACACTTTGCAATCCAGGTAAAGGTACTCATGTGTTGAAAATCTTACGACTTTTTGTTGCGACTCGACACGATTGCGACAAGGGGCCGTCTCATTACCACTAGTGGGGAGCGAGAAAAAAAAACGCCGCTGTTAATTAAAAGATTTTCGGAAACTATTCATGATACGAGAATCGTTAAAAATTTGGCTTGGAAATCAAGTCGTTAGCATTTGCTCATTATATTTGCTATTAACAAGGTGTACGGTGTTCCACCACACCACCATAAGGATACATTTGATAGTTGTGAAATAAGTACACTGCGCGTTAGCTAATTGTGACGTAATAACCAATTATAACAAAATGTCTCATGAATACGTAAAATGAATTATCATTCCTGGTTATTAATAAAAAAACAGCCTGTATTTTCCCACATGTAGAATGATGTTTTGGACAGGAGATAGTATATTCTATAAATCTGTCATTCATCTTCATCATCATTAACCCATTCTAAATGTCAATCACACGTGTCTTCCAATGTGAAGGTGACCCGACGAGTTGGTGACAAATTTCCAAGGATGGTGAACCTTCTACGTTATGCAGGTTTGATTGGCGGACGGCATTGCTCTAAAAAAAAAAACAAAACGTTCACAAATGCAAAAATGTAAATTAATTAGAAATTTTAATTGTCAGAAAACCACCACAATGGTTTTAACCGTTAACTTCTCATTTTAGAAGCACCCATCTATCCACCCATCGATTGACATAATCTGTCATAAGCATGTCATAAGTAATGTCAAAAAAAAAAGGTACCAAGTGACTTCCTGAAACACAAGTATCTAACCCTGAGACACAGGTGAAATGTCCCATATGCCTGTATTTTCACCTTTTTGAACCTTAAGCTTCAAAACCGTAACGTAATAATGCTGACTATTGCTTGACGGCAGAAACAGGTGGCGCTACTTCCCTGGACAAACTCTTTCACAAGGAGATGTATTGCTACTCGACTGTCCAATAACAGTTGCAGTGCTGCTCAGAGATTTAAATTCTTATTAGCATATTTTTGTCGTAGCCTGTATATTCACGTTGTTACTAAAGAAGGACAATAAGTTGTGTGTTACTTGATTCTTCTTTGTTTTTTTCAGATTTTCTTACAGGATAATAAGGACTCTAATAAGAATTTATAAAGAATGATATGCAAGTACAATGTATTTTTTTTACAAGCACTGCCGTGCTTGTAAATAAGTGGTGGGGCTCTTCAAGTTTTATTATACTGTTTTGAATTACTTTTACATTATTAAGAACGCACTAATATACTATACTTCTTTGTTTACTACCTAATAAATTTGCTATATACACACCCCTATTATCGAACGATTGAGTTATTTCATGGTTATTTCATAACCGGTTGAAGTTAATGTACGCATAACTGTATACTTCTATAGCCACATAAATTTATAATGGATCTAATAAAAAAACTTTCCACTTTAGCCTCCCGCCAAATTGACAACCACGTACCCTTACCTAATTTAAAAAAAAAATATAACTCGCAAAACACATTACACGCAACGGAAAATTCCCCAAAACTTATCTGAGGAAAGCTACTGTACAATCCATCATCATTATGCCAAAACTCCAGTGCTGAAATTCAATAAAAAAAAACTTCTCAGCTCCATCTAGCGGCGAAGGTACGAACTACGATGTCCCCCCTACAAACACAAGGGGGTGGTGCGCCACCCCACGTCATATCCTTTTTTCTTCCCTCCACAACTTATCCATACCTGAGCTTTCTTTATCCGTGGCCTGAACTTTTTCTTTACACCCATCCCTTTCTACCCTTCCTACTTAGATGCGGATAAAGAGTGTAGCTGTCTCTTTCTGTCGCAAAAAAAATCTGTTTATAAAAATGTGTAGATGTGTTTGGGGGTACCATTGGACGTATTGTGGGGTAATGTTTCATACGGAGAGGGGTCTTTTTGTGTACGCGTTTTGGATTGAAAAAAAAGTGCACCCCACAGAACTTTCTATTAGGATACGTTTCGTTTGCAATTTCGATAACAAAGCTGCTTTTTTTCTTTTGTAGAGAAATTATGGTGTGGGTGAACCTAATTCGTTCGGCTTCTCATGAATTATCAAAAGATGTTCTGCGTTTAATATATTTCTTGATCTTGTTCTTATGCCTCGCTTGTTTTGTAAAGATACCTTTTTAATATCCTAAATGCTAATTGGATATTTATTTGAAAAAATAATTCTGAATTAAAATAATTTGTAATAAACGCACGCGCAAATTTTGTATAACAATCTTAGGTACAGGTATAGACAGATAGATACAGAATGTGTCAATTGGTAGAAATACCGTTAAAATTAAT